GTCAATACTTTCGCTAACATGCAGATGTCCGGAGTATTGTTTCTGCTTTGTGAGCACTTTTACTTTCAAAACTTCATACTAAAAAATCCTGGAGCTTACTCGAAACATGTTCATTCGGTATCGAAGACCTCAAGTGTGCACTCGAAGACTCTGTAACGTGGACAATGACCAACAGTTTGGTGATTGAAGTTTTTGCCCGTGTTTTATTCAGCTTCACGCGCGGCGTGACAGAGCATTACGACCCTGATGAGCCTGAAGTGGAGACCTTTGGATGTAACGAAAGCTTAAGCAGTGGGGGTTCGAGAGTGGAATTGTCAGCCCGTTGATAAACCCATGAACCAGGAATATTCACCGCCTTCAGACGAAGATTATGATCTCATGTCAGTTGGTAATTCTCGAGTTAGATATCGGCTCATTGACGCGAGCTCACCAGATGAAGACGAAGACGAACAGCAAGATGAAAATGACGAAATGGCTTGGAGGCGATTCAGACCATCCGTTCTTCGCAAGGTTTGTCAATCAATGTACACCGGCGCATTAATTTCACTTCTATCCGCTGTCATCCTCGGCCTTTTATACATCATGATCGCTTACGTCTCGTACGAAACGACACGCAACTGCCAATTTCACCGGAAGGAGACAATCCCAGGCAAAATACAGTGGATCAGAACATTGTCTGAAGTGATAGGTGATGCCTTTCTTTACGTGTGGTTCTTTGTAGGAATGCTTTTTCTTTTTCGACCGTATCAGTTAAGGGGTGTGAAAAGAAAACTCATTATTGTTGCTTTTGTCCTGTTCTGTGTGGATGCAGTGCATCGTGCTGTCCTTCAAGTCTTTGGAATATCTCATTCCAAGCTTTCTGTGACTCAGAAGATTTCTCTCAACATTATATCTCTAAGCAGTATATGTTGGAAAGTTTATCTTCTAAAAAATTACATCCAGAACCTGTCGAAGAGAGCGACTTTATGAAATTAACGACACCATACAGCTTCACTTTCTTTGTTGGCATCTTTATAGCGTCGTTTATTTTATTCAATGTACAGCAAACAAACTGAACATGGAAAACTCCTTATTGCACTCTTCTCACCTCTCTTCGGAGTTATCTTTGAGGTAGTCTTACGACTTTGCATCCGGGATACTCCTATATCTTGTTAGTGCCGTTGTACTTTGGATCAGCGGTCATGTTTTGAGTAATGCAGGCAGAGCTTGAAAACCTCAAATTTATCGCTGTTCTTGGAATAATCCATGGCGCGTTAGAAGACCTAGTATCATATATTTCATGTAATCTTGAAAAGAAAATCAGCTTCTTTGGGAAGTTTTCGCACTCCTCGCCCCGATAGACTAATGGCTGATATCGTTATCATAAGCATGTTTTCTGAATCAATTGGTATTGTGTGTGTTAACGGATTGTTGTACGTATACCAATTCATTTACTTACAAAACATTTCATTGTTGAAGCTAGTTCAGTTCCGCTGGTTATTGAATGGTTTTTCACCGGCGTATCCTTGGCCATTGAGACGCCTTTTGGTTGCGATAACTAATCTGGTTCCATTGGCTATTTGGACAGCAACAAATCTCTTGGAAGTTGTGCATGGGCTCTTTGATGAGTCTAAAAGTCACCATTGCAACATGCCCTTTAAATAGAGAACTTCTAAAAACTAAATGCCGGCAGCCTTTCAGCCTTCCTTGTGTTAATTGACCTGTGGTGGTGTGAGAGATTGTTGACATATTGCACTTACCAGTTATTATTATCCAACTGCTAAAAGTAGAGTACAAATAACGCGCGAATAGAGCACAAATATCTTGCGACATTGCACGGTTATTTGGACAGTTAATTATTTTGTGCTGTAAAAAAACCTGTTTAACCAGTCGATTGCGTGCGCTACGCTTCTCTATCCGCTTCGCTTTTGTCGTGACAGTCCTTGAAAAACTAGTTTCGCTGTTTTTCAAAAGTGTGCATGCGCTTTTTTTTTTCTTACGCACTCTTTAATTGACAGGTGTCAGATGTTGACAGATACTTGTAAAGATAATGTTTGAAAGTTTGTTTTGAAGCCTTTTAAATCACCTTTATCATTACGCAAATGAAAATGTGTCAGTGAAGTATCTCTCTTTAATTTGGATCACCTCTATTTTAACCACCATTTACTCGCTCAAAAACTGTTCTGTTTATGGAAGATCTTGTCGTATTTACAACCCTAAATCATTCGGGTTCTTTCGGAAAGAATTTCGTTTAGTTAGAAAAATAAATAAATATATTATTTACCGCCTAAGGGTCGGTCCTTATGGTGAAAAATTGTGACCTCGATCTTGAAAATGCTGCATTTTCGAGACCTCGGTCTCAGTTTTCCACCATACGAAACCTCCCAGCCGGCAAATAACATATACATCTTTTTGTTAAATATTAGATTTCTAGGTTTTCTGTGTTGTGAATATTTTGTAAAAATTGTTTAATTAAGAACTGATGTAACTAGGCGATGTAACTACTTTGGTTAATTGGTAATAAAATGGCTTGAAAAAAAATGTAATGTAAAGGCTTTTATTACTTGCGTCATGTAAATAATGGTAATTGAACTGAGTGGAGTGCAATTTGGGTTGAAATCATAGGCATGATTTCAAAATCGAACGAGCTCGTAGCGCGAGTTCGATTTAAAATCACAAGTATGATTTCAGACCAAAATTGCACGATATAAGGTTCAATTACCACTTTATTACATCCATTTTGAAATTGCCCAAATACAGAACTTAGTCAGTTCAAATATTTTATTGATGCAGTACTAAGCCGGTTTGAAATTAAATTCATCCACTGTTTGGGGGGGGAATAAGCGATTGATGGAACCTCTTCGAAATCGTTCAAAGGCAAGGGAGCTTAGAGCCAAGGAAATTGTAAGGAGCTAGAAAAATAAATGTATTTATTGACGTCCAAATGGTTAACAGTGTTAAACACCGATGAATATAGGAATACATGACATTTTCCACAAGATAATCGAACGGCAAATACGAAAAAATGCATGGGAATAACCGCATTCAAGTGGTGAATCGCCGATAACAACGCGTTTTCTCAACGCAAACAGCCACAAACGCTAAAAAACATCGTATTTCATCATGTTGACCGGCCCATGAACGTTGGACGACACGTGGTTTTCAAGCGTTTTCTACGCATTTACTGTCCTAGAAAATGGAAGAAAACGCATTGTATTCGTCGTAAAACTTTTGTGAAAACAATGTTTTGTTACTGGAAACACCAGTAAACAACCGCGCTCTTAAAACCAGGAAAACAGTTGCTTTCGTAGAGTTAACTGTGAACGAAAACTGCCCGATAATGGAACGAATACTCCAATTCGCCGATTAGACAACAACGGGAAAACTCTGGATTTTCGTTTTCGGAAAATGTCAGAAAATGCGTGAATAATGCCGTGTTTTCAAATAGTCACAACTTGTTTTCCGAACGGGTGAACACCATATTTTTTGCAGTGTTCTCAGTTTAGGTATTAACAATACTCCAGGCTTATATCGTAGTGATATAACATTTTGATCGTTTCACGTTACCTATTGGTTAATCGATACAATAGAAGCTAGAAAACGCCAAGAAGAAAACGCCATTGACAGACACGAGGCCGATTGACTCTTACAATATACTTATGATGGAAGTATCAGCCATTAGTTTCTCGCTGCGAGGAGTGTGAAAACTTCCCCAAGGAGCTGATTTTCTTTTCTAGACCACGTGAAGGTGCACGCTTGCATACACTGGAAGAGAATCATTTTGCTTACCTTATTAAACACGTGGTCAATTCTCAAAAGCCCTTAAGGCCACTTCGCTTGAAAGCTCAGCTTATGACACGAACCAACTCATTAAACAAATAATTAAATGTTGTTGTCTATAACTGAATAATATAGCGGTCTGTATTTTAAGTCTGAGTTTTAATGAACACAGGCAGGTTTAAAATTTAGCAACTATGACATTAACTCTTGGAAAAGTAAATAGTGACCAAAAGCATATATCCATTCATATCTCGATGTTTCTACATCTCTAAATTCTCAGGGACTAGGTTTAAAGTGGACGATTCGTTTTAGGTAAAGTGTGCCCCCTTACCAGCCTCTCTATACAACGCATGTATGAAGAACAGAAGAAGAAACTATCACGCCACTAAACTCCTCCAAGTTCTGCAGATCATAGCAAACTATATTCATGAATAAAACTGACAGTCTCTCGAGTCAACCGTTGACTCGAGAGACTGTCGAAGCTCGTAGAGAAGCAAATGATCGAAAGCTCATTTTCGATTCGGGTTTTAGCCTGAGGGTTTTTCTACTTAACAGTTACACAAAAGAACTGAATGCTCATTAAGTAAAGGTAGCGAACTGCTTAATTTTCGTAGAAAACTAGAAAGCTATCACCAATCAAATGAAGTCCTATCATCGTGAAAGCATCTGAGAGGATGTGTTGAAATAAGCGGTTAAAGATGATCGCGCAACTTTCCAAAATACGTTCTACTTACTCTACATAGAAATTCATATCGAGCTAATCTCTGATGTCTCACATCCGTAGAACACGATTTTATCTACATACAGCGCACTCCAAATACACTTTCTTGAAAGGTTTAGAATGATAAATTTATTACAATTCCAGTATCTATATGCATATCAGAATTATATATGCCATTTTTTTTAACTAAGAAGAAAGGCGCGTGCATGAGCGAACGCCGTTTAAACGGAAAACAATGGCGTCCTTACAAGCTCTTTTTTTATCGTGCCAAGGACCTCGAAGGCTCACCCATAAGAGTTTGCTTACTGTCTAAAAGTTTTCTGTCGTTGCCTGTCGCAAATAGACCTCGGATTTAGAAAAGACTGAAAGACTGCTTGCCTTCCACAGGCTGAGCGGGTGGATTTTGTTTTCCTTGTTGCCACATTTCGGTAAATGCAACATGTCAAAAATCTTGATCAATACACGCCCATCAACCCAGGGAAGGCCGAAAGACTGCCGGCATTTAGTTTTTAGAGGTTCTCTATGTGAAAGGCATTTCGTACGGATGACCTTTACCCTCATCAAAGCGCCCATGCACTACTTCCAAGAAAGTTGCTGTCTTCGAGAGAGCCATTATAAACAGATTGGCCATTGCAACAAAAATGTGTCTTTTCCATCTTTTGCGCCAAACAGCCATAACTGCGATATTCTGAAAGCGAGTCTCGATGGCCAAGGATACGCCAGTGAAAAACCATTGAATCATCAACGCAACAGCGGTATGAATAACAAATTCCTGAAGAAGCTTTAAAAATGGAATTTTTTGTAAGTAGGTGAACTGATACAGATACGAGACGCCGTTAACAGACACAATAGCAGTTGATTCACATAACATGCTTAAAATGGCAATGTCAGCCATTAGTCTCTCACGGCGAGGAGTGCGTAAACTTCCCCAAGGAGCTAATTTTCTTTTCAAGATTACATGGCAAATATGATCAACAAAGACCACGGTGCTTCGCTCTAGAACTTCTACCGCGCCGTGGATTATTCCAAGAACAGCGATGAATGTGAGGTTAGGAATTTCTGCCTGCGTTACTCGAAACATCATCGCTGATCCAAAATACAACGGCACTAGCAAGGTGTACGAGTAGCCCGGATGAACAATTTTCTTCAAGCGTTGAGCGCAAAGTCGTAAGATTACCTTAAAGATAACTACAAAGAGAGGTGAGAAGAGTGCAACAAGGAGTTTTCCACGTTCATTTTGTTTGTTGTAAACTGGATAAATAAACACTTTTACAAAGATGGCAAAAAAGAGAGTGAAGCAGTAGGGTGTTGTCAATTTAATAAATAAAGTCGCTCTACTCGACAAGTTCCCGAAGTGATTTGTTAGAAGAAAAATTTGGCAGCATATGCTGATTAGAAATATAACATAGAGAGGAATTACAGAAAACTTGTAATGAGATATTCCAACACGATACACTGTATCCACACAGGAAAAGACAAAAGCAACAAGAATGAGTTTTCTCTTCACGCCCTTTAACTGATACGGTCGAAAAAGAAAAAGCATTCCTGCAGAGAACCACATATAAAGAAAGGCAACACCTATTACCCTACGCAAAATACCGATCCACTGTATTTTAACTGGGATTGTCTCCTTCGGGTGAAATTGCCAGTTCTGCACCGGTTCGGACGAGACGTAAGAGATCATGATATAAAAAAGGCCGAGGATAACAGCGGCTAGAAGTGAAATCAATGCGCCGATGTACATTGATTGACAAACTGTGCGAAGAACGGATGGTCTGAATCGCTTCCAAGCCATTTCATCATCTTCATTTTGCTGTTCGTCTCCATCTTCATCTGGTGAGCTCGCGTCAATAACCCGATATCTAACTCGAGAATTATCGACTGACAAGAGATCATAATTGTCGTCCGATGGCGGTGAATATTCCTGGTAAATAGGTTTATCAACGGGCTGACAATTCCACTCTCGACCCTCACTGCTTAAGCTTTCGTTATATCCAAACGTCTCCACTTCAGGCTCATCAGGGTCGTAATGCTCCGTCACGCCGCGTGTGAAGCTGAATAAAACACGGGAAAAAACTTCAATCAGCAAACTGTTAGCCATTATCCGCGTTAGAGAGTCTTTGAGTGAACACTCGAGATCTTCAATACCGAATGAACATATTTTTAATAAGCTCCAGGATTTTAATTATAATGTTTAGAAAGCGGAAATGCTAACAAAGAAGAAACAATACTCCGACCATCTGCATGGTAGCGAAAGTATTGACTATTCCACTTGTTTACTAAATATTGAAGAAAAAAAAATGTTGACGATTAATGAAATTTATTTATATCAATTTATTTATCTATCGTTTGAATTTAAACAAATGCTTATAAAGAGGTAGTCAGACTTTATTTCAGTTATAGTCCCTGTACTCTTTCTTATATCAGGCGTGACGTAATATATTGTTTTCTCTGAGGTTTAGCACATTGTTCTTTAATATCCATCACTGAATGTAGCTCTGAAAGTGGAAATACTACACCTTATTGAACAAATGAAGCACCTAGAAATCAGTTCTACGTCAATTTTAAGCTGAGAAGGTTGTCCTTAAGGCAAACACTTCTTCAATGACTTCAAGATACGTTGCGTAGAATCAGTCCCGTAAAATATCTGTCGAATTCTTTCATCATCACGGAACTTCACTTAAAACAGATTCCCATTTGTCTACCATTGAAAACGGTTAGAAAGTTTTTGCCAAATAGGCTCGAAAGCCAGATGATATCAAATGACCGTGACTCCTTTGCATGGATAACAAACTTCCTTAGCAGAAACATCCTGTCGGAAATAGGCTTTCGGTTAATATATAGATTTAGCCAAGCCTAAAAGCGGAGCTCTTGTTAGTTTATTTTCCAGCCCTTCGTTATACTGAATAAAAACTGTGATAAAACTCTTCAGCACTGGCTGTAGAAGAATTTCTTCAATGGATTGAAAGACCAGTTCGGGGGGTGGGGAGGTGGGGAAGAATTGACGAAGTCTGGAACCTGGGGACGATGTTCTCACAACTACACACATGCTAGTCAGCGGTATCTCTAGACAGCTTACGACCTTTGTCGCTGTTCTTGATGTTGTGACCAAATGTTCGAAGACAGGAAGTATTTTCGTCTTCAGATGAAGTGCATGATGTCAGCATCGGTTCAAATTATATTTTATTGAGCGTGACTTATAATTTCGGTTTGGGAAAATGAGCCAAAATTGAAAGAAATGACAGTAAAACACTTTGCGTCAAGACATTACTGGTGGATTGAGGTGTATAGGTGCAGTGAACACAGTAAGTCAGTAAAACAATACGCCAGAATCGTATGGGCTTCTCCTATATCTTCTCTTGAAGTTGCCAGGTATGACTGCTTACCCCACTGTTTTTCCCCAACGTTTCAACCTCCTGTTTATATGTGTGTTTATATGATAAACAAAATAATACATGGTTGCTTGTAGATATGGAATTTCTCTTCTCGTGTTCAACTCGACATCTCACTAGTTCGCTGCGCTCACTCGAGAGCTATCGAGTTAAACACTCCAAGAGAAATTCCATATCTACGCGCGCCCATGTATTATTCTCTATTTCTCATGTTTGCAAATAATTGAATTTACTGGGAGTTGGAGTTGTTGCAACATTTTAACATGAAACGCAACAATACATTTTATTGATATGTAAAAAGTTTTCATCTGACTATCTACTGGCAAGTTTTTGTATTATATTTCAACTCAACCATTTCCCTCAACATATAAACACTATCACAAAATAATTAGTCAGGGAAATGGAAAACTTGTGGCATAAACACCATGTTTGAAATGCCATGACCATAGTAAGCTAACAGGATTGAGTAGGATGTATGTGGGAATAGGCCCTCTTGTCCGTATCAATAATTTGCTAATCACTCCTGTTGGCAATGTTTTGATGAGGATTTTAGCAGACTTTTTTACAAACCCGGAAACTATCATCGTGAAAGCCATACTTGAACTCATTCTTATTCTGATAAACTAGTTTTAAAAAAGATACTTTAATTTGACTATACTTTTATGGTCAATACCAGTCCCTTCACATGGTAAAATGTTAGGAGGATTAGAGGAAATATAATGTGCCATACATCTGCAAGATTTGATGAAATTATTTTAATTACAAGAATACTAGGCAATATTAAAAAAATGAAAAATTTTTGAAAGATTAGAATTCAATACCAAAATTCATAGAAAAAGAAACTATCATTTTTTTACAACACCTGCCTGAAAGCCATACTTGAACTCATTTCTTATTCTGATAAACTAGTTTTAAAAAAAAAGGAGAAAAAATAAATTTCATTTTTCTAATTCAGTTTAGAGTGATACTGAGTTTATGGTCAATTTTCACAACTAATTTTTAAGGTTAGCCAGTACCTGGAACAATCATTTTCACGTAAAAATTAGACCAGGTTTGTACTGATAATGCCCAACAGAACTATCTGTGATAAGAGGGCAGGTTTTCCTTTCTTTATTTAAAGAAATAATGATGTTATCATCTTTCCACAAGCTCGGTGGAAAGTGAGAGTGAATGAGACTGATGGTGACTATGTTATTTGAATAAACATCCAGAGCCAGGATAAAAAGTCAGACATGGTCTGCAAAACTCTCTCATTTTAATTTTTTAACCTATTAAGCTAAAGCTTTACATTCTTGCTTTGTGATTATGTGGATACCAATTACTGGTAATTTAACTTTCATTCATCAAAATACAAAAAAATGTTCTCTTCATCTGTGTGCCCTAAACATTACAGGAAAGGAGGCAGGTCAAATCAAAAACAGGAATTAAAATAAGAGGGCCCCCATTAATTTCAGTCCTAATTAAAGGAGGATCCTTGTTTTTCCAGATTCCCACCCTTTTAAACTCATATATCTTGTGACCAATTCCTTATTTCCGATGTTCAGTCTAGGTAGGACCATTGATAAGAAACACCATGCATTAATGAAAGCCTGAGCTGGTGTATTTAATGCAATCTAAATAATAATATTACATGTTACAATATGGTAACTTACACAGCAAAATTATATAATCACACAATTCCAAACAAAGGAAGTCAGGTTATTGACTTACCTGCTTCAACTTTTGAGGGCTTAAGGTACAGAGAATAGATATGGTAAACAGCTACAATTAATACAAAGTTGAAAGTTTGAAAGCTAAAAGATATATATTACAATCATCAGACCCTATGCATCCTAGCAAAAGAAGGGTCATTTACCACCATAACTTCTCCCAAATGTTCATGCTCACAGGAAATCATTGATTTTTGTCTCTAGGTGGTACTGTATTTACAATAGTTCTGCCGGTGTGACAGAGCATTACGACCCTGATGAGCCTGAAGTGGAGATCTTTGGATATAACGATAGCTTAAGCAGTGAGGGTCGAGAGTGGAATTGTCAGCCCGTTGATAAACCTATTTATCAGGAATATTCAATGCCATCGGACGACGATTATGATCTCTTGTCAATAAGGAATTCTCGAGCTAGATATCGGGTCATTGATGCGAGCTTACCAGTGGAAGATGAAGACGAACAGCAAGATGAAAATGACGAAATGGCTTGGAAGCGATTCAGACCATCCGTTCTTCGCACAGTTTGTCAATCAATGTACATCGGCGCATTAATTTCACTTTTAACACCTGCCATCATTGGCCTTTTGTACATCATGATCTGTTACGTCTCCTACGAAACGATAAGCAACTGCCAACTTCACCCAAAGGAGACAATCCCAGTTACAATACGGTGGATCAGAACACTGTTGTTAAGTGTTGCTTTTCTTTACATGTGGTTCTTTGTAGGAATGCTTTTTCTTTTTCTTTTTCGGCCGTATCAGTTAAAGGGCGTGAAAAGAAAACTCATTCTTGTTGCTTTTGTCTTGTATTGGAATATCTCATTCCAAGCTTTCTGTGACTCAGAGGATTCCTCTCTATGTTATATTTCTAATTAGCATATGTTGGCAAGTTTATCTTCTAACAAATCACTTCCGGAACCTGTCGAGGAGAGGGACTTTATTTATAAAATTGACGACACCCTACTGCTTCACTTCCTTTCTTGCCATCTTTGTAGCAACGCTTATTTATCCAATGTACAACAAACAAACTGAGCGTGGAAAACTCCTTATTGCACTCTTCTCACCTCTCTTTGGAGTTATCTTTAAGGTAGCCTCACGACTTTGCACTCAAGGCCTGAAGAAAATTGCTCATCCGGGATACTCGTACATCTTATTAGTACCGTTGTATTTTGGATCAGCGGTCATATTTCGCGCGATTAGAGCACAAATATCCCGCGATATTGTACGGTTATTTGGACAATTTGTTGTTTTGTGCCGTAAAAAAACCTGTTTAACCAGTCGATTGCGCGCTATCCGTTTTGCTTTTCCTGCCTTATAGGAAATGAGCAGAAAGACCTAGCAGAAAGTACTTGGATAATAAATAACTTATTAAAAGTTTTAGTGTGTAGTATCGTTGAGTGTTTTTAAACCTCATGAGATTTTTAGAATTAATGGACTGAACTTCACACTTGAATATAATTTCTCATGTACTCATGCTAGAATTCAATGCAGTGAACCAAACCCCTGCTTCAGAGTTCTAAAAATAGACGTAAACCAATCTGTTCTAAAGTTTTAAACTATTCGCCAAACTTAATTAGATGCAGTGTTGGTAAACTTTTGCTCTTTAAGTACAACTGCTGGTACGCAACTGAAAAGTCCCATACTTCATCCTGAGGGGTGGGGTGAGAATTAAGAAAAGAGGTTGCACTATTGACTTTAATGTCTCATCTTTCAATTTACTTAATGTCTGAGTGGAAGAGCCAGATGGGAGAATATTTGACTCGAGATCATGACCGAGAGCCAAACATTTTCCCGTCCTTAATATTATGTGAAAACTTAATTAAGTAATTGTTTTATTACACGTTTTTTGAAACAATTTGCCAAAGGAGACACTACTCACTTAGTTTGCAAAAGTTTAAGAGCAGACTTTGAACTCAACATGATAACCCAATATCTGTTGCAGATGCCGGGTTATCATGTCAACTTCATACGCCTATGTATACTGACTGAATTCTCTCCAACAAATCAGAGTTTTCATAGTTACTCTATTGTATAAAAATATTCCTTTTTACTTTGTTAATGTCAGAAAAGCAATGATAGTTGTATATTAACAGAGAATTACATTGGCGACATAAACGTTTGAACGTCCACAAAATCAGTAATTAGTTTGAAATCACTCGTTCTGTAACTACAGAATTTTACACTCAGCAAAATTAAAGCAATTAAGAACTGATTTGCTCTTCTCATTTCAAGTATTAACGATACTCCAGGCTTACATAGTATTGATATAACAATTCGATCGGTTCTCGATGCTTGGTAAACGGAACAACATTTTTCTCCCGAGTATAGGCTGAGTGATTTGAAAACTCTTTGCGTGTTTTATTAGCCTTTATAGTGAGTTATCAAGCCTCTTTACCCCTAGAGAGTGCAGTTTATACCTTTATTCAATAGCTTTTGGTCAATCGATACAATAAAAGCTATGATTAACCGATTATGTGTGTGGTACCTCAGTCATTTTATTCTAGGAACTGACAAACACTTGTACAATTCTTTGAAAGAATAACAAAGTCGTGTCTCGAGATAAATTGCGTGAACCTGTCTATTTTCCACTCAGTTTGAGCTCTGATCTATCAGATCCAGGTAAATATAACTCAAAGACGAAAGGAACTCTGATTTAGTCCTCATTCCTCACTTATTGCGCACTCTCAAGAAAACGGCATTTTGCAAGGATGGTTAGTTTCACTGAACCGCCCGTGTAAAATTTCTATGATACGCCCGCTGGACCACAATGCTAAGGAAACTACATTAAGAATTGCTGCAAGTATACTTCTTTTTCATCTTTTCCGCCAGACAGCCCCAACAGCCATGTTCTGTTAGTCTCTACCGGAAGGGATTCGCTGGTGAAAAACCCCTCAATCACCAATAAAATGGATGTTTGGATGGCAAATGATTTAAGCAAATTTGCAAAGGGTTCGTTTTCCACATAAATAAGTTGATACACGAAGAAGATGCCATTAACAGACACGAGGCCGATTGACTCATACAACATGCATATAATGGCAATATTAGCCATTAGTCTCTCGCGTCGAGGAGTGCGAAAACTTCCCCAAGGAGCTGATTTTCTTTTCCAAAGCACGTGGCAGAAGTGATTAATGATAACCATCATGCTTCTTTCTAGTACTTCTGCAACGCCGTGAATTATTCCAAGAGTAGCCATGGATTGTAAACTGTCTAAGTCGGCTTGCAATACTCGAAACATAACAGCTGAACCAAAATACACCGGCACCAATAACACACACGAATATCCCGGATGTATAAATTTCCACAACCGCTGAACGGAAATCCTTGATATTACTTTCAGAACAACTCCACCAAGCGGAGCGGAAGTAGCGATCAGAAGTTTACCTTCGTTGTTTTGTTTGATGTAAGCTGGGTATACAGAAAAAGCTGAGACGAAAGCCAGAATGTCGCTAAAAAAGGTCGGGAGAATCATATGAAAGAAAATGCAGTCGCGTAGTAGTATTTACATCTTCACTGATTCGCTTTGCTTTCTTTTGTGTTTATTCTCATTCATTAGCTTTTGTGTTCATTGAGCCATTTCCCAATGTTTTCCGTGAGGTTCGCTCACTCAAATGGCCGGTACAATCAAGAATGTCGCTCTCGGCTTATAGCCGATGGTTTTGCTTTTTCTTTTGGACAATACGAGTCTGTTGGAAGGTCTCTAGCTTTTAGGGTTTCGGCTTATAGCCAAAATCGGCTTGTAGGTGGAGAAATACAATAGATTGAAATTAAAATAAAATCAGACCTGCGTAACCTAGACAATATCCGTAAATTTTCAGATTTCATTCGAAACTAAAAATTAGTTAATATTAAAAGAGAATTTATTGTATTCTTCGCGAGCTTATTCATCTCACGGTGGGGGCTGAAGCAGACCATCCAAGATTCTTCTCACATATTATACGTACGTCAGACCAAATGATCGATCATATTTACTTAAATGCTCATAATTTTGAGATTCATTCGAAACTGTATGATATATCAACAACTGAAAGTTAATATAGAGCATTTATTGTATCCTTCGCAAGCTAATTTATCTCACGGCGGGAGCTGAATCAGACCATCCAAGATTCTTCTTAGATATAATACGTATGTCAGGACAAATAATTATATCGATCAAATTTACTCTAATGCTCACATAGTTCCGTGATCTTGCCGCTTTTGATCTTAAAGCCTTTTTAAATATACCTCATACGGAAGCAAGTTGTACTATGATGATATTAGCCAGTTCGGCACATTCTATTCTATCAGCATTGCCATAACGTCAATCGTGCCAATGTCGGGCTAAATTCTCTAACCAACAAAACAACTTATTTTGGGTCTTTGAAACTTCTAGAGGAAATTATATTGTTACATCTTTGAAAGGAAATTATTATTTGATGTAAATATCCGAACAAGGATAATTTTGTACAAAAAGATTCACATGTAAAATCAGCTATAGTTATTCCTTTAATAGGAAAAGATTATTAAGTGAGCTACATACATAATGTTGCAGTCAAAGGAGAGTAATTTCGTTCCATTACGATATTATGATGCCACACTGAATTCAAATGTATTGGTGAACCTGGTGCACTAATTTGTGCTCTGATGGTGGTGTCTGTATCAAGAAGGGTTACTTCTTTACATTTCGGCTACAAACGTGTTTACCGCTGAATACCAGTTGATTGAGTTGAAAGGCTGTGGCCCAAAAGGCATCTTGTAAGGTTGGGTATTATCACCAAAGCGAACATGAAAAACGTTTATGAAGTATGAAATATGCATTCAACCACAGTGCCAATGACACCGCATTGACAATAGCCACAAGTGTGTGTCTCTTCCATTTTCTTTCCAAACAGCCATGGTAGCCATGCATGTCCTGATAACTCTTTGCCGAAAAAAATCAGTATTTTTAGAGAGTGATTTTTAGATAAGAGGTTTTTAGTGAAATGTTTGGCTTAAAGAACAAAGTTCTTAGGCTAAAATTGGCGTAGAAGTGATTGATATTCTCAGTGATCATGAGGAGTAGTATTTACTTTCAGAGCTACACTCAGAACAATGCGCCTAATATCAGACAAACAAAGGAATACGTCCCGCCTGATATAATACCGAGTGCAACGTCCATTGGTGAAATTACATCTGATAATCTCCAGAGTAACATCAGTATTTATCACTGACTAATCGTTGTCATCTTGTCTCTTCAGCTTTCATTGGACAAGTGGAGTAGTCAATACTTTCGCTAACATGCAGATGTCCGGAGTATTGTTTCTGCTTTGTGAGCACTTTTGCTTTCAAAAAATCATACTAAAAAAACCTGGAGCTTACTCGAAACATGTTCATTCGGTATCGAAGACCTCAAGTGTGCACTCGAAGACTCTGTAACGCGGACAATGACCAACAGTTTGGTGATTGAAGTTTTTGCCCGTGTTTTATTCAGCTTCACACGCGGCGTGACAGAGCATTACGACCCTGATGAGCCTGAAATGGAGACCTTTGGATGTAACGATAGCTTAAGCAGTGAGGGTCGAGAGTGGAATTGTCAGCCCGTTGATAAACCCATTTATCAGGAATATTCGCCGCCTTCAGACGACGATTATGAGCTCATGTCAGTTGGTAATTCTCGAGTTAGATATCGGCTCATTGACGCGAGCTCACCGGATGAAGATGAAGACGATCAGCAAAATGAAGATGATGAAATGGCTTGGAAGCGATTCAGACCATCCGTTCTTCGCACAATTTGTCAATCAATGTACATCGGCGCATTAATTTCACTTCTATCCGCTGTTATCCTCGGCCTTTTTTACATCACGATCGCTTACCTCTCGTACGAAACGGCACGCAAGTGTCATTTTCAACCAAAGGAGACAATCCCAGTTAAAATACAGTGGATCAGAACAATGTCTGAGGTGATAGGTGATGCCTTTCTTTACATGTGGTTCTTTGTAGGAATGGTTTTTCTTTTTCGACCGTATCAGTTAAAGGGAGTGAAAAGAAAACTCGTTCTTGTTGCTTTTGTCTTGTTCTGTGTGGATACAGTGTATCACGTTGTCCTTCAAGTCTGTGGAATATCTCATTCCAAGCTTTCTGTGACTCAGAAGATTCCTCTCTACGTTATATTTCTAATTAGCATATGTTGGCAAGTTTATCTTCTAACAAATCACTTCCGGAACCTGTCGAGTAGAGCGACTTTATTCATAAAATTGACGACACCCTACTGCTCCACTTTCTTTCTTGCCATCTTTGTAGAAACGTTTATTTATCCAATGTACAACAAACAAACTGAAGATGGAAAACTCCTTATTGCACTCTTCTCACCTCTCTGTGCAGTTATCTTTAAGGTAGCCTCACGACTTTGCACTCAACGCTTGAAGAAAATTGCTCATCCGGGATACTCCTACATCGTGTTAGTAACGTTGTATTTTGGATCTGCGATCATGTTTCGAGTAATGCAGGCAGAACTTGATAACCTCAAACTCATCGCTGTTCTTGGAATAATTCACGGCGCGGTAGAAGTTTTAGAACGAAGTGCCATGGTCTTCATTGATCATATTTGTCATGTAATCTTGAAAAGAAAATCAGCTCCCTGGGGAAGTTATCGCACTCCTCGCCGTGAGAGACTAATGGCTGATATCGTTATCATAAGCATGTTGTCTGAATCAACTGGTATTGTGTGTGTTAACGGATTGTTGTACTTATACCAATTCATTTACTTACAAAACATCTCATTGTTGAAGCTGCTTCAGGAATTTGTTATACGTACCTCAGTTCCGCTGGTTATTGAATGGTTTTTCACCGGCGTATCCCTGGCCATCGAGACTCGCTTTCAGAATATCGCGGTTATGGCTGTTTGGCGTAAAAGATGGAAAAGACACATTTTGGTTGCGATAACTTACCTGGTTCCACTAGCTGTTTGGACGACACCAAATCTCTTGGAAGTTGTGCATGGGCGCTTTGATGAGTCTAAAGGTCACCATTGCAAAATGCCCTTTTCATAGAGAACTTCTAAAAACTAAATGCCGGCTGTCTTTCAGCCTTTCTTGTGTTAAGTGACTTGTGGTGGTGTCAGAGATTGTTGACATATTACACTTACCGGTTATTATTATCCAACTGCTAAAAGTAGAGTACAAATAACACGCGAATCGAGCACAAATATCCTGCGATATTGTACGGTTACTTGGACTGTTGGTTATTTTGTGCTGTAAAAAAACCTGTTTAACCAGTCGATTGCACGCGCTACGCTTCTCTATCCGCTTTGCTTTTCCCACCTCTATAAGAAATGAGCAGAAAGACTTAGCAGAATGGATAATCAATAACTTATTAGACGTTTTGGTGTGTAGTATTGCTGAGTATTTTTAAATCTCATGAGATTCTTAAAATTAATATATTGAACTTCACACTTGAATATAATTTCTTAGGCACTCATGCTAGAATTCAACGCAGCGAACCAAACACCTGCTTCACAGTTCTAAAAATAGACTTAAACTAATCTGTTGTAAAGTTTTAAACTATTCGCCAGACTTCGTTAGATGCAGTGTTGGTAAACTTTTGCTGGTGCGCAACCGTAACGTCTTCTACTTCATCCTGAGGAATGGGGTGAAGGTTAAGAAACGAGGATTTACTATTGACTACGATGTCTCATCTTCCAATTTACTTAATGTCTGAGTGGAAGAGCCAGGTGGGAGAATATTTGACTCGAGATCATGACCGAGAGCTAAACATTTTCCTGTCCTTAAAATTTTGTAAAAACATCATCAAGTAATTGTTTTATTATACATTTTTGAAAACAATCTGCAAAAGGAGACACTTCTCTCTAAGTTTGCAAAAGTTTGAGAGCACTTCACGGACGAGGGGGAAACTAGGCAGACTTAGAACTCAACATGATGACCAGTATCTACTGCAGATATTGGGTTATCATATCAACTTCACACGCCTATGTATACTGACTGAATTCTCTCAAACAAATCAGAGTTTTCATAGTTACTCTATTGTATAATAATATTCCTTATTTGTTTATTAATGTCAGGAAAGCAATGGTTGTTGTGTACTGAAAGAGATTTACATTGGCGATGTAAACGTTTGAACTTCCACAAAATCAATAATTACTTTGAAAAAACTCGTTCTGTAACTATGGAATTTTATACTCAGCAAAATTATAGCGACTAAGAACTTATTTGCTCTTCTAATTTTAAGTATTAACAATACTCCAGGCTTATATCGTATTGATATAACATTTTGATCAGGCTCGATGCTAAAGGTAAACGGAGCAAAAGTTTTCTCCCAAGTATAGGCTAAGTGATTTGAAAACTCTTTGCGTGTTTTACTAGCCTTTATAGTGAGTTATCCAACCTCTATACCCTGATAAGGTGCAGTTCATACCTTTATTTAATAGCTATTGGTTAATTGATACAATAGAAGTTATGATTCTGATTGAACATTATGCGCGTGATACCTCAGTCATTTCATTCCAGAAAATAACAAACACTTGTACAATTCTTTGAAAGAATAACAAAGTCATGTCTCGAGATAAATTGCGCGAACTTGTAAATAAGTATTGCTCAGAGACAAAGGAACTCTGATTTAGTCCACATTCCTCAGTTATTGCGCACTCTCAAGAAAACGGCATTTTGCAAGGATTGTTTAGTTTCACTAAACCGCCCGTGTTAAGTTTCTATGATACACACGCTGGACCACAATGATAAGGGAACTGCATTAATAATTGCTACAAGTATATGTATTTTTCATCTTTTCCACCAAACGGCCATGACAGCCATGTTCTGATAGTGAGTTTCTATCGCAATAGATACACTGGTGAAAAACCAGACAATCACCAGTGAAATTGATTTTTGGATGACAAACGATTTAAGCAAGTTTGCAAAGGATTCGCTTTCCATGTAAATAAGTTGATACACGAAGAAGACGCCATTAACAGACACGAGGCCGATTGACTCATACAATATACTTATAATGACAATATCAGCCATTAGTCTCTCGCGTCGAGGAGTGCGAAAATTTTCCCAAGGAGCTGATTTTCTTTTCCAAGGCACGAGGCAGAAGTGATTAATGACAATCATGATGCTTCTTTCTGGTACTTCTGCAACGCCGTGAATTATTCCAAGAGTAGTCATGGATTGTAAACTGTCTAAGTCGGCTTGAAATACCGAAACATAACAGCCGAGTGAAAATATACCGGCGCTAGTGACACAAACGAATATCCCGGATGTGTAAATTTCCACAACCCGCTGAACGAAAGTCCTTGAAATTACTTTCAGAACAACTCCAACAAGCGGAGCGGAATAGCGACCAGAAGTTTACCTTCCTTGTTTTGGTTTTTCGTACGTTGGGTATACAGAAAAAGTTGCGCCAAGAGCTAGAATGTCGCTGAAATAGGACGGTAGAATCATTTGTTGTTTATATTGTTTAGGGTTAGACGAGCGACAACTCAAGAAATATTTTATTACAAGATAAACTTGCCCGCATATGTTCATGAGAAACAAAAGATAGAGAGGGATATTTTGCTTTGTGAAAGCCCTTGACTGATTTATTTCTAACGCTTGTACAACAACACGATAAAGTGTGTTCAAGCCATACAACATGCAGAGAAGTTGCTAGGAAAAGCTTTCTCTTCACCCAAATCAACTGAAATGGGCCACACATACAAATAAACGCATATATAGAAAAGCACAGGAGAGGATACCAGATAATGAAGTTGTACCATGATGATATTAGTCAGTTCGGCACACTCTATTCTATCAGCATTACCATAACGTCAATCGTGCCAATGTCGGGCTAAATTCTCTCATCAACAAAACAACTTATTTGGGGTCTTTGAAACTTCTAGAGGAAATTATATTGTTACATCTTGGTAAGGAAATTATCATTTGATGTAAATATCCAAACAAGGACAGTTTTGTAAAAAATGTTTACATGTAAAGTCAGCTATAGTTATTCCTTTAATAGGAAAAGATTATTAAGTCAGCTACATACATTATGTTGCAGTTAAAGGAGAATAATTTCGTTTCATTACGATATTATGATGCCACACTGAATTCGAATGTATTGGTGAACCTGGTGCATTAATTTGTGTTCTGATGGTGGTGTCTGTATCAAGAAGGGTTACTCCTTTACATTTCGGCTACAAACGTGTTTACCACTGAATACCAGTTGATTGAGTTGAAAGGCTGTGGTCCAAAAGGCATCTTGTAAGGTTCAGTATTACTGATCACCGAAGCGAACATGAAAAACGTTTATGAAGTATGAAATATGCATTCAACAACAGTGCCAATGACACCGCATTGACAGTAGCCACAAGTGTGTGTCTCTTTCAGTTTTACTTTCTAAACAGTCGTGGCAGCCATGTTCTGTCTCTTTGCCAAAGAAATCACTATTTTTCGAGACTGACTGATAAATAAGAGGTCTTTAGGGAAATGTTTGCCTTAAAGAACAAAGTTCTTAAGCTAAAATTGGCGTAGAAGTGACTGATATTCTCAGTGATCAATGAGGTGTAGTATTTACTTTCAGAGCTACACTCAATCATAGATTTTAGAGAACAATGCGCCTAATATCAGACAAAACAAAAGAATACGTCCCGCCTGATACAATACCGAGTGCAGTATCCATTGGTGAAATTAAATCTGATAATCTCCAGAGAAACATCAGTATTTATCACTGACAAATCGTTATCTTGTCTCTTCAACTTCCATTGGACAAGTGGAGTAGTCAATACTTTCGCTAACATGCAGATGTCCGGAGTATTGTTTCTGCTTTGTGAGCACTTTTACTTTCAAAACATCATACTAAAAAATCCTGGAGCTTACTCGAAACATGTTCATTCGGTATCAAAGATCTCAAGTGTGCACTCGAAGACTCTGTAACGTGGACAATGACCAACAGTTTGGTGATTGAAGTTTTTGCCCGTGTTTTATTCAGCTTCACGCGCGGCGTGACAGAGCATTACGACCCTGATGAGCCTGAAGTGGAGACCTTTGGATGTAACGATAGCTTAAGCAGTGAGGGTCGAGAGTGGAATTGTCAGCCCGTTGATAAACCCATGAACCAGGAATATTCACCGCCTTCAGACGAAGATTATGATCTCATGTCAGTTGGTAATTCTCGAGTTAGATATCGGCTCATTGACGCGAGCTCACCAGATGAAGACGAAGACGAACAGCAAAATGAAAATGACGAAATGGCTTGGAGGCGATTCAGACCATCCGTTCTTCGCACGGTTTGTCAATCAATGTACACCGGCGCATTAATTTCACTTCTATCCGCTGTCATCCTCGGCCTTTTATACATCATGATCGCTTACGTCTCGTACGAAACGACACGCAACTGCCAATTTCACCGGAAGGAGACAATCCCAGGCAAAATACAGTGGATCAGAACATTGTCTGAAGTGATAGGTGATGCCTTTCTTTACATGTGGTTCTTTGTATGAATGCTTTTTCTTTTTCGACCGTATCAGTTAAAGAGTGTGAAAAGAAAACTCATTCTTGTTGCTTTTGTCCTGTTCTGTGTGAGTGCAGTGTATCGTGTTATCCTTCAAGTCTTTGGAATATCTCATTCCAAGCTTTCTGTGACTCAGAAGATTTCTCTCAACATTATATCTCTAAGCAGTATATGTTGGAAAGTTTATCTTCTAAAAAATTACATCCAGAACCTGTCGAAGAGAGCGACTTTATGAAATTAACGACACCATACAGCTTCACTTTCTTTGTTGGCATCTTTATAGCGTCGTTTATTTTATTCAATGTACAGCAAACAAACTGAACATGGAAAACTCCTTATTGCACTCTTCTCACCTCTCTTCGGAGTTATCTTTGAGGTAGTCTTACGACTTTGCATCCGGGATACTCCTATATCTTGTTAGTGCCGTTGTACTTTGGATCAGCGGTCATGTTTTGAGTAATGCAGGCAGAGCTTGAAAACCTCAAATTTATCGCTGTTCTTGGAATAATCCATGGCGCGTTAGAAGACCTAGTATCATATATTTCATGTAATCTTGAAAAGAAAATCAGCTTCTTTGGGAAGTTTTCGCACTCCTCGCCCCGATAGACTAATGGCTGATATCGTTATCATAAGCATGTTTTCTGAATCAATTGGTATTGTGTGTGTTAACGGATTGTTGTACGTATACCAATTCATTTACTTACAAAACATTTCATTGTTGAAGCTAGTTCAGTTCCGCTGGTTATTGAATGGTTTTTCACCAGCGTATCCTTGGCCATTGAGACGCGTTTTGGTTGCGATAACTAACCTGGTTCCATTGGCTATTTGGACAGCAACAAATCTCCTGGAAGTTGTGGATAGGCGCTTTGATGAGTCTAAAAGTCACCATTGTAACATGCCATTCACATAGCGAACTTCTAAAAACTAAATGCCGGCAGTCTTTCAGCCTTCGTTATGTTATTAACATGTGGTGATGCTAGAGATTGTTGACATATTACACTTACCAGTTATTATTATCCAACTG